CTCTCCCTTTGGTTTGGCGCTGGGATTTGCCACAGATCTTTGTAAGGTTTGGCTCTTGTATTAAGAGATTTCTCAAAGACATTTCAACACATCAAAACTGAGAGTGTCCAGACTTTCCCAGACACAGCACAGGGCCTGAATTCTGCCCCAGTGAGAGAACCCTGCAGACATCCAGGTTCAAGGGCCCTTAAATGAAGTGTCTCCTGTATGTAAATTGGGGATAAACAGCACTCTTCTTGCCACACTGCTGTCAGGATAAACCCATTAAAAACCGCGGGGCTTTGAAAATAATCCCTCCTAAGCCGAGGGTGCTGAAGGCTCTGGGACTTGCTGAGTGTCATTCCAGGAGGGCTCTGCAGCCACACTCACACATGGAACACTGGGCAGAGCTCCTTTAGGGCCCTACTCTCACAGAAAATCCATATTTTACAAGTATTGGCAATTAAACCTTCCCACTGCCTTCACATGAAGTGCTGTAGATTTGGGCTGACTAATTGCCCTTTGCTCCATCCTCAGATTCAATCACGTGGTGAGATGGTTAATGACTAAAAATGATTGACTGAGATGGGATGGGGACACCCAGAGGAGAGAAGTCACAGCTGCTCTTGGCAATTAGAATGCATTAGTGTCAGAGAACACGAGAGAACCACGGCACAAACTTCACTCTTGTGGCAGCCACCAGCACTCCACCATCCCTTCATCAGCTCTAGGAAATAACCAAAGTGTTCTCAGGGGATCTACAAGTCACAAAGCTCACTTAGGTTTGATATTGATAAACTTATGGCAACAATGATAAACAGGGCCAAGAGTAAAAACAAACAAGGGATTTTGTAAAAACAAGAGAGCTGAGCTTCCTTTCAGTTGTCCTTGGGTACCTAAACCTTTAGAGTACATTTACATGTTTTCAAACTCTTCTTTGCACCCAGAAATACCAATGTACATGGTGGATTTCTTAATTGAGAACTGAGACTTTCAGGGAAGCCTAGATTTTTATAGCTGGTACTGTCAGAGATGCAGAGAATCTCATGACACTTCCCAGGGTGATGTCAGTGGTTGCCATCAGCGTGGCCTTCATTTCCAAGCACAGTCACTGCACAAAACTGCTTGGATGTAGAAAAGAATTCAGGATTATGGGCCAGAATTTGCCTCTTGCTGCTGCTTTACAGATCATCTGCTCAATCTGCACCGTGCTGGGATGTGTCCTGCACTCACTGCAGCTCCTGAAGGCAGGGCCCTCCAATTCTGACACCCCCCTGGAAACCCCAGTGAGTGACACAGCCAGGGGAGGGTCCCTGCTCACAGGGCCCTGCAATCTGCACTGCCCCTCGAGTGCCAGGGGCAGCACCAGAAACGTCTGCACAGGGCAGGGACTGCAGAGAAAGGCAACCTTCTAACGATTCTCATGTCCCAGAGCCCAAATACACCAAACCAGGCACTGGCTGAGCCCACAAGGCAGGATAGAGGACACCCAGCTCCCTGCTGGGAGCCCAGATGTCCTGAGCCCCGAGGAGCTGGGGCAGGGCTGGCTGAGCCCCCAGGGCTGCTCCCTGCACTGCTGCCTTCCCAGCCATCCCTCCCGAGCATCGCAAAGCACAGCCCAAAGGGGGAGCAACACAAACAGCAAACACTGCCCAGAAACCCTCCCACCGCCCAGAGGGCTGTTACCTTCAGGGCTCCTTTCATTCCTTGGCATCAGCTGGGGTACAGATGGCTGTGCAGTCACTCGCTGCAGAACTAGGTCAATGGCAGCACAGATAGCAAGAAAAAATAAAAATCCTGGGTTTTAGCCACCAAAAACATCCAAGTAACAGCAGCCTAATGGACAAAATAATATCCCTGAGCGACCTCATCAACCCCAGACTTTGCAGATACAGCTGCCCTGCCCAGTGACCACACAGCTAGCAGGGCAGAAGATGTGCCATTACACACACATACTCATTATTGTTTTACTAGATTCCAATAATTCCTGCAGGAATGAATCCTTCTGCATGACATTACAGCAAACATAACCGACAGTTTCTTACATTGCCCATTATGTGGTTAATTGGCAATGGTTCACAGAAGAAAGGCTACACAAAGTCACTGCTATTGTTCTAAGTCTTACTGATGTTCGTGGATCAAAGACAGGTCCCCGTGTTCCTCCAGTCCCTGCTTTGATACAAAATGTTCTGCAGCCACAGCAGTTTAGAGGAGTTTCCTCTCCCCAGGCTCCTCCCAAGGCTGGTTTCTCAGCACTGTAAGCTGTGAGGAGCAGAGGGAAGCAGCTGTGCTCCGGGGAAAGCACAGTTGCAAAAAAATTACCTTAAATTGGTATGGCTGTTTTGTAAATCCCACTGGGAGTTCAACTAAGGTTACAGGATTGGTCCCTGGTTAAATATCTAATGGTAGATCCTCAGGTGAAAACAATCAAATCATATCTGAAAGCCTCACTAGAAAAGTAAAGCAGTATTTAGCCAACCAAATTTTGATTTTCCATCTGAAAGCAGGTTGTGAGCTCCTTTAAATGCCACACCAGCAATGCCTAAACTCTTTGAAACCACAGGGAGTTCTTCAGAGGATATTGTGTCCCACAGCGCTGGGACACTGCAGTTTCTGAATCAAGGGGCTGCACCAGCCTGGATACGTGCTTTTAATTTTGCTGTTTCACACTGTTTCTCAAACCAGCTGCACTTCATTTCGTGTGGTTCACAGATCACCAGTGACCCCTGAGCCTCAGAGGGGACTCTGCTCGAGCCATTGACATGGAGCCTGAGTTGCTGCTGGAAGGGAAGGAGGGATTGTCTTCTCCCTGTCCCCACACCAGCCTTGCTCCAGCTCTGCCCGGTGGGTTCAGCTTGCTGACCTGGCAGAAGTTGGTCAGGGGTTTTATTCAGTTTTCTGATGGTTTATTGAGCTGAAAGAGTTACCAGAAGGATTGGGTGAATGTTTAGTCGAGGTCAGGACAGAGGGGAGAGGAGAAGCTGCTGAGCTTCCTTGGCTATAAAAAGGAGTGTGGGCACGAAGCATAAACAGCATTTGGGGCTGTCCCTCCAACCTGGGATCCCCTGAGCTTGTGGCAGGGCTCTGTGCCTGGTGTGTACCCAGCACTGCCATCACACAGATTTACCAGAAATCTGCTCTGAGTCTGATACTGATTCCACTCAAATCTATGGCAAAACTGGGGTGAAATGAAAGAGCATTCACAGAAGAAATGTGGCACTTTGTTTGGGGAATGTGTCACTTGACAGAAGCTGTGCACTTTCATTTTCCCACAAATATTTATGAAACCAAAATTTAAACACAACTTGTCACTAAATTTAACAAATATGTTCAGGAGCCACACTTGCAGCCAAGCATTGAAGCGTAGAGAGAGTGCAAATAAACAGCTCCCATGGGAAGGGGGATTTTTGTTTGTTGCTTTTAAGCCCTGTAAGAGGCCAGAGAAGAAAGCAGAGAGGGCCATGGTGGCTCCCCTGGGACAGGGGGCTGGCCCAGGAGCAGCAGTGCCAGCTGCTCCTGCTTTTGCCATCAGCTGTGTGCTCCTCTCCTCTGCACTTGGAAAAATAAATGATAAATGCTGGGGGTGCTTCTGGTGGGCTGTGCTCCTGTTCCAGGCTCTGCTTTCCCCCACAGCACTGCAGGACAGGGGGCTCTGGTACAGGCAGGTAAATAAATGATGTGGCCTGAGGTGACAGGAGTGTCACCCGTAGAGCAGGGCAGCTCTGCCGCACTCCCACTGAACCAGCACAGGCTCGGCCTGCTCTGATAGGGGGGTTAAAGGAGAATTCTGGGGGGTCAATGGAGACACAGAACATGAGGGGCTGGGCTTGGAGGACAGTCCAGTTCAGAACAATGGCTGGTAACGGGGATTTCTTTCTCTTGGGCTTTTGTTTTCTGCAGTGGAGCTTCTAAATGTATAAACCCAGCAGGATCTGAACCTCTGGCTCTTGGGATGGGGATTAACGTCTCTTGTTGTGGACTCCCCACCCTTGGGAGTGTCCAAAGCCAGGCTGGATGGGGCTTGGAGCCACCTGGGATAGTGGAAGGTGTCCCTGCTCAGGGCAGGGGAGGTCAAACTCAGTACCTTTAAGGTGCCTTCCAGTCCAAACCATCCTGTGAATGCAGCTTTCAGGAAACCAAATCAGGCTGTCTCCCAACACAACCTGAGCACGTATTTTCATAAGTTAAAAGCAGTATTATTCTGATAATCAAATAGAAAGGGTCTCACAGGGCTCCAAACAAAGCTGGCTCATTAATCACAGAACTTCACCTGTGGTGTTAGTTTGGCCAGGATTCCTTTCTTGAGGTAGTTTGGGTATTAGCAGGTGCAGGTGCAGAAATGTCCATGAGCCAAGAAATAATCTTACCTGGTTCTACACATAAAATGCTGCCCCAAGAAAAAACTCCCAAAGAGGAGAGATGTCATTTCATATTCAGGATGAAAACCAGACAGGGCTGTGTGTAGCAGGAGGGGAACTACATCCCTTATATTTTCCCCCCTCTATATAAATCCACATTGTTTGTGGAAACATAAAAGCAGTTTCTGCAAAAGCTGATGACCACTCAAGAGTTTTCTTTCTGGTACTTGGTTACATTAAGAATTCCACCTTGAGATCTTTGCTACCAGTAGTTGGTTATATTCTTTGGCAAGTGCCAGGAGGATTTTAAAATCAAGCTTTATAAAATAAAAGTCCACAGTCATATATATCAGTCTTACAAATCTATCTGTGTTCAGAATTAGTATTTCTGTAACAAAAACATAAGGGAAGTAGAAGCAGCTTTGGAGAAAACCTAATAAAAAAAGGAAACCAGCTTTACAGGTAGAAATGACAGGTTCAGTGTTACAGGAATAACATGCTGTTTCATTTCCTTCCAGTAATTTTAACTTCCTTCATTATCAACAAAGTGGAAACTGCGATCAGTTTGTTAATTTTAAGAAAAGCCAGGATTACAGTCTTCCCTGTCATACCATTAATATAACCACATTAAATGTGGTTATAAAAGCCATGTTTAATAAGATAATTTAAGCCATAACAGAAATAATTCCCAAATCCTTCCAACTCTAAAGTCAAGCTGTGCAGATTTTTTACCCATTTCTTCAACTTTTGAAGGGGAAGACTCCCAGTTTAAGGACTGATATTGCAAACACAAAGCAGATGGTGCTTCACATTATCATGAGGTATTACATTTGACACCTGCTATTACACCATCTAACAGGATATGTTACCACCAGAAAACCAAAGAACACCTTTGCAACTGAAATTTGTACGGTAACATCTGCAGAAGCACTCAGAATTTAAAAGCTCTCCAGTCAGCTTCTCCCAACCTCTTCATTAAAAAGGCTGGACAGCACATAAAACTTTTATATTAATTTATTCTGAACTGTACAAAGCAATCAATTTTTACATTTCCAAAATACTTCCTACAAAGTGATCAAGGAAGAAACTCTTCACTCTTTTAAAGCCATGAGACAGGCAACTCCCTTTACAAACAAGCTCTAGTAGTTGTACTGATTTTTGGTCAATAATTCTTGCTCTATCTTAAGTGATACCCGCTGACCATTCCTCTGAGTAGACAGTTTTACTGTATCATGACGTCACGCTTGTATTAGTTGGCCAAACCAACCTAGAATTTCAGTCAGCATCAGACCTTTTCTCCTCCAAGGATTTCCAGAGCAGGTGCATGTCCTGTATCTGCACATGTTATATATGTGTATGTGCACATGTATGGACAGGTACACACATTGATAACTGAGCACTGGACTGCTTCTGTCTGCTGAAAGAAGTTTGCACAGACTTCTCTGGTGCCATTTCAGACATGTGGAAGGGAAGCAAATGTCTGGAGAGTTGTGAACAAGTATGGAAAAAAGCCTTTTGGACTGGAATGATCTTCCCTGTGATTACTGTCCAAGGAAAGAGGCCATAGGATCGTCAGGTCTCTGCCTTTTCATCCTGTAGGCTTCCATCTCCTCCTCTGTTGGCTCCCTGGCCTCATACTGGCTGTTGTAGGGCCTCTTCCTCTCATCCAGCTGCATGATTTCCTTAACGTGGAGCAGACGAGCCTCTTCTGCATTCAGTGCCTGAAAGGAGAGCCAAGGAAAACGAAAATTCCACAAGGAAAGTTAAGCAAAAAAACCCAGGGAGGGTTTGTCTTAGATGCTCACAGGATGGACAAGCAACAGGCACAAGGGATAAGCAATCACACCTGCCTGGCCCACCTACATACAGCACATTGTACTTAATGCTCATTTTTTGGTGATTAACATAAACTGATGCTAAAATGCTATTTAGCAAACAAGACACTTTAATCTCTTTCCAACTGTCAAAATCAAGTAAAAAACTCCTGGGATTTACCTAAAATGTAATCATGATCCAGCAAGTAGAAAAGCAGGTAAGCCAGCATCTGATCTCAGGGATTTGGGATGGTTTGATTTTGTATTCTGGTATAAGTTTGGGGGGTTTATTTTTAAATCCTTTGTATTATTCCTCCAACTTCTACTGCTGCTCCTTGCTACTGAAGAGAAGAGCATTTGTCCAGTGCCTTGATTAACCACAGATTTAACTGGTGCTCCCCCTGGACACCCTGAGGCTGCTGTGCCCCTGGGAGGGCTGCTCAGCCAGCAGGCAGTGGATGTTTTGGGGCATGGGTTGACTGCCCCAGCTGTGAGACTGGCACCAAGCCTGGCATAAGAGGTGCTCAGTTAAGCCTTGACAGTGCCTTTGATCTCTCCACCTGTCTTCAGCACACAGCTGATTGTTCTGCAATGTGTTTGAGAGATCTACAGCTGTAGTAAGTGCCTAGACATGAAGTGTTTAAGTCATCTAAACTATGTCTTTTAAAACTAAATATTTATTGAATGTTTGCCTGAGAAATGAGGAATGTACTTCAGAACATCTAACAGCATTTTAAATTTGCTTTAGCTCTAAATTAGCATCAAAGAACATCCCAAGGTACAGCACAGGAACTACATTAAACACTTCATAGAACTGATGTAAAATACATGTCAAGTTCTTTTTGCCACAAAGCCACTGAAGAATATATTGCACCTTTTTAAGTTTTTCTTGCTTCTTTTTCTCTTCACCCTCACTGTCTGAATTCGAGCTCTTCTTGTGCTTCTTCTTTTTCTTCTCTTTCTGTTTCTCTTGGTGGATCTGTAAGGTGGGAAACAAGTTCCTGTTAAGATGCAACTTGCCAACATTAATAATGTCCAAGCTACCAACTGCAGACTTCTATCAATGCTATTTGAGAGCTTAGTTTTCCACAGAGGTGATAATAATCTAATAATGCAGTCCAGTCATTTTCAGGCTCATTATGACTCTACATAATTTTTAGTTATGTATATCTTTTCGTCTCTTAAAATGCTGAGGCAAAACATGTCTTCCTGAGAATGGGAAGCATCCTACCTCCATCAGTGTTTTGGGTTTTGTCATGTGTTCTTCCTCCCCAGGCTGCTCTTCCAGTAAACTTGCTTCTGTGTTCTGCACAACAGACAGGAGCAGGGATGCCCAGTTACTAAGCACATTTAAAGGGGAAGGCCAAAAAAAACCCCACAACCCCCCAAAAAACCAACCCTCCCAAAAAGTGAAACAGTCTGGACCTTAAGGAAGGTGAATGCTTTTCAGCTCTTCCCAGGTGACTGAGACAACACTCACCGCAATTTCCTTCCCAGCCTCTCCTGTGCAGTAGGAGTACTTGACAAAGGAGTGGCAGCACTTGTAACCCCACTTGCCTTCTTTCCAGTATGAACCCCAAATGCACTGCAAGAGAACACACCACAGCAGTTCAGGCCACCACGACACTCCTGCAGGAGCCTGCAATTTAATGCTGAGCTTATATCCTGGGAAGTGAATCCTTCAAACAGTCCAGAAGGAAGTTCTGAGCAATACTTTTGCTACTCTACATCAGCCTTACAGGTACACTGTCAGAAAAGAGAAAAGCAGCAGGACGTGGTCAACTCATATTCAAAGTGAAAGGGAAACAGAGTAACTTCCCCTTTAGTTTAAGACTGCCATGGCAACTCCTCAAATTCACATCACAATCATGACTACCTGAAATTCCTCCTTAGCAGAAAAGGGAGAGTGTCACATTTGAGAGGGGAGAAGTTTATCTGCTGTATTAATTATATTGTACTGTATCCTACTGTACCTCCCATGGGAAGGTGTTTAACTTCTCTATAATTTTAACATAACCCAGGGCTTACTGTATGGTTGTTGATCTTCACATCCTCTTCATACTTAGAGCAAGCAATAGCTTTCTCTTGTCCTTTGATGACTGTTCCATGCCTGGAGTACTCCACATAATCCTCTGTTTGAGCCAACAGCAGCTCAGCTGGTGGGGCATCCAGGTGTTCTTGTCCTCCATACTAAAATGCAAATAGAAGTGACATAGAAGAGGTTTAAAAAAACCCCCTTCTCTGTAGGTAAACAAACATTCAGATTTCTTCAGTGGAGAAATTCTGACAGTTAAGGGAAGAGCTCCCAAAAATACAAAGAAAAACCAACAGATCTTCAAAAATTCCCATACTAAATAATAACAATAATCTAATTGACGATAGAGTATAAATATAAAAATATTTTTATAAGTCTGAGCTGCTGAGAACAGCTGATGCTCTTTCACATAGGATTAGTAATCTTGTTTGTTCCCCAAGACCCAAACTTGAAAGAATTCTTATTAAATAAAATCAAATGCCCATTACCTTCTCTAGGATGCTTTCTTTCTGCTGTGCCTTGAAATCTTCTTTTTTCACTTTGAAGGATTTATAAAGGAGCTCCAACTTTGTAGGGTCTGCTTGAAGATGAACTTCAGAGCCTTTGTCATAAGCTTCCCAAGCAAACACTGTGTACACAAGAGGGTTCACTCAACATTTACTCTAAAACTTACACACTCAAATTACATTCTTCAATTCCGAAGCAGTTTGGAAGAAGACCTCAATCTAAAAAGATCTATTTCTCTTTTACAAGAAACTAGCAGTGTTAAGTGTTTTAAGTCCCCTCCCTTACAAAGCCCCCCAAAGCAGAGCCCACTTACACTGGGTCTGTGCCATGGAAATGGTGTCTCCAGTGTAGCGAACGAAGTTGTCACCAGCGTAACCAACTCTGCAGGAAGAGCAACAGGAGTCTGAGCAACAGGAGTCTGAGCACTTGTGATTCCCTCTTAAATACAATCACACAGCTTCAGCAGGGAAGGAAAGATTCTCTTTGTGCCCCAAGAGTTAAGAGTGGAGGGAGAAGTGGGTGCATCCAACTCGGTACATGAAATGAAAGCCCTGCTCCCTGTGGAGCCATGGAAGAATCAGACAGGCCCTTGGAAAACCTGATGTGTGTGTGCACAGGGAAACACAGGCCTGGAACTCCGTATGGGATGCCAAGCACAAGCTAAACTCACACCTAACTGCACACAATACCCCTCAGTGGTGTGTGATATTCCAGCCCCACGTTCTCAGCTCCTGGATCTGTGCCTCTCCAGCCCAGCCCGGGACTCTGACTGAGCCAAAGGCTGGGAATAGCTTTCCTGCTGCCTGCAAAGTGAGACACTTCTGCACAGCCTGGAACAGATGCACAGTGTGTCCATGACCAACAGGCTGACGATCCAATAATGTTAACAACCCCATCCCCCCCCCTTCCATCTCCCCAAGGCTGCTCTGGAAAATTTATACTTGCAAAGCTGTGGCAGAAACAAAGGTCAAATTATGACCAGGGAGAGAAGTGAAAGCATCTGCATCTAAAACAGAAGAATTGATTGGCACTATTCTAGCTGGGGGCAAACAGAGGTGGAAAGAGCATTATTTGCTATCACTTAGGCACTGCCATTCTATTGCAGGCAGTGAGCTAAGCCAATTCCTGTGCTCTGAATGCAGGTTTTACTCACAGCTTGCCTGCTCTGAAGTTCACAGCACAGCACAGGTCAAGTGCTGACTGGGGTTCTAAGGGAGAGCCCTGTGTGCAGCCAAGAGCAGCAGCTTTCACTGAACTGGCTAAATAAAAAATGCCAAAGTTTTCAGATATTCACTGTGCAGAATCCATTCCTATAGGAGGAGATCTTACTCCTGATGCAAACATTTAGTTAGGTACCACAGACACTCCATGTGAGTCTCCAGTCCTGAATGTCTCCCAACAAACATAAGATAAAGTTTAAGATTTAATTACTAAAATAATGTATATAAACATCATTAGTGTTCACAGGCCTCACCTCTGGATGCAGCAGTGTTCTAGTCCCTGTACAGATCATCCACATATCCCTTGAGATTAAGGGTCAGTATTACAAAAATACCACCTTTATATACTAAAACAAAAGATGCTCCTAAATAAAACAAGTTTTTTCCATGCTTACTACTGCTTCTATACATAACTGACCAGAGATTAATTAGTAAAAGGACATACAGAAAAAAGAAAATATATAACTATTAATCTCATTTTTAGGAGTTTTGTTGGATACACAAGAATGACCCTGTTTTAACTTACTCATCTGGATTCTTGCCTGTGTTGGCATATGGGTTCTCCCTCATTGCCCTCGTTTTGGGATCATAATAAGCAGAGTTTGGATCCAGATTCCTCAAGTACTGGGGAAAGAAAGAACATATTTAATATGCACCATTTGACAAGAACTCGAGTTACTCCTTTATCCCCCAGTTTAGACATTTTAGAAGTTCTATCCATGTAAAAGGATGACCTTGATCAAGTCATAACACGAGCATGAACAGAACTGAGAACAGACCTTAACCCAAAGACACGAAGTCCTTAATAAGTGAGTGCACAACAGACTGAGATGAGCTCCTGGGAACATTTGTAAAGATTCTTTACTCACTTTGGCAATATCTTCTCGAATACGCAGATTTCGAACTGTGATACGTCTCTTAGAGTCAAAGTTCTGCCCAGGCATATCAATGTCATCTGCATATTTATCTTCATCTTCATCTTCACTGTTATGATCTCTTTCCTGAGGAGAGATGGGAAACTTCTAAGTCATTCACTCCAGAGACCAGCCTGAAAATCCGATTCTAGTGGTTTGCTTACAATTCTGCAATCCCTATAGTTACAAGCCAGCACAGTTCACCCGGGGTTAAAGTGTGCTGTCAGGCTAACCTAACACTCACACTGCTCAGAAATACTCCTGGGGAAGGATTTCCACCTCCTCACGAGGGAACAGTTACCAAAACGTAACTGTGACGATATTAAGAGAACAGTTATCTTGGGCAAAACACACCACATTAAAAACTAGTTCTGTGCTTGCATCTCTAAGGTCTGACAACACACAGGAATTACAATAAAAACCCCTCTAAGAAATCCAGTAACCTCTGCCTGAAAGAACAGGCAGCCAGTGGCATGGACATGCATTTAAACCCTTATGCCACCCTCGTTTCACTGTTTCAATAACTACAGATCTTCCTTCTGCCCAGGAGCGATGCAGTGGGTAATCAATCATCTTACTGTCTGTGAATTGGGTTCCTCTTCTCCCCACTGGTGTCTTGGGGAGTTCTGCAGCAAACAAAGAGCACATCAGCAGAGAAGACAAGATAGTGGAGAGAGGAAAGATGGCAGGGATTCAAAGGGCAATCGAAGCAGAGCTTGATGCTGGATACAAAATACAATTCACCAGTGGCACAAAATGCAGAAAGATGCTACATAATGTTCTAGGAAAGAGCTCTCACTGTCTCTATGACACAGAGGTGTTGGAGGCCTTTTCACTGCATCCCCAACTAAATTTCCCATTCTTTCATGAAGAGCACATCCTAGAAGTGTTGCTGTTATTTAGAGCTTGCTATGCCTTTGAACACTGATGGATTAGACTAAAATATTTCTTATTATGCTAATATAACCAAGTTTCAACTCTGAAAGCTTAAAAAGTAATCAAGAGGATATGTATTCAAGGATTTAGTTAGGATTTACAGGAATACTAAAAGCATGAATTGGAAGGCACAACTGAAGCTGGACAAAGACAGCCTGACTATTTTTTTAACCTGCTTAGCCTCCAACTTGAAAATACTCGCAGGGGTGAAGATGGAAACAACTGTGAGCCCTGGAACACTGACCAACAAACTGGCCAGTGCTGACTGTGCAAATCACCCCCAGTCCTCTCCTTCAGAGACAGTTCTGAAGTTTCAAACAAACTTTTTTTCCTACAGCTTCTTTTTTTTTTCAGGTGCTGCCTAAAGATTTTTAGGCATTTTATAGATTTTAATATAGCTGTATAACTTGCTTTCACTTAAGACAGTTACTAAAGTGTTTTCTCCGGGTTTGTGCTGCTTTCCAATGAATTTCTGTTTAACAATCTTTCCAAGGAAAGAGATTTTAGCAAGGATATCCTTCTTGGGATGTGCACCTGGACCAGAATAATCAGATATATTGTAATCAAAACAAGATAGAGGGCCAGAAGGGCTCTCTATTTTTTGCCATTTTATAAAGTTAAAATACAATCAGAAATACCTTTAAAAATCAGAATTTTGTATCAAAGATAGGAGTATAATCTAGGAGGAGCTGCAGAAATTAGTGGAAGATGCAAACTCTGCAGTTCTAAGCCAGAGGGAAATACATTTGCTCAGCCTTCAAAGAACCAGAGACATTGCAAACAGTAACAACTGAAGAAGAAACAAGCTGGTATAAGACAAAGAAAATACCTTCCTATTCCAATTTCTACTATGCATTACCAAACAAATGCATAATCACATAACAGTCATTACCTCAACATTAATTAGATCTTAACAGCCTTTAAATACAAAAAGAGCATTTCAGTACATGAAAAAAATGAGTACATGGAAAATGAGTTCTTCTGACCCAAAGTTCCTTGTAATTCATTTTAGCAGGAATAATAATCACACCAAATTTTAGCCTAAAAGGGGAAAACAAAGTAATTCTCATTGGAAAGATGCTTCAAATTCTTCAATATGACACAGAGTGCCAGGAAAATCTTTAAATTGCTGGAGGGCATAAAACCTAACAGCAGACCCTGGACAGAGTAAAAGTGTCAGAAAGCAGAAGTAATCTGTTGTGTATTTATTCTGCTTTAACAAAAATAAATGAGGGTTTAGTTCACTTACCACTTGCTCCAGCTTCCCTGATGCCAGCTCCTCCTGAAGCTTCTGTGCTTTCAGGGTACGTTTGGCCTGGGGAGCAAGAAGATGCCTCTGTTTGCATATTTCTGTTCAGCACAAGGTTCAACATTGACAGTGCTCATTAGCAGTGTCCCTCCTCCCAGCCCAGCCAGGCCAAACAGCCAACCCTTCCCCAGGAAATCCCAGCCCCTACATACCAAATCAACCTTGGAATACTCCTCCACGATCTTCATGTGCTCCTCGGGGTTATAGCCATTCCAGCGGTCCCGCTTCCCGTCGTAGTCAAACATCAGCTGGGGCTGCACGTGCTCGTCTGGGGCAATATTCATCCCTGTGTACTTTGCTCCAACTTTCCTGGGCCTCTGAAAGAGAAAAAGATGGTTACATCAGCCCATTAGGCTAAAATACATTACTCACTCAGATATCCCTTTAAAAATCTTATCAATCAAGCTCAGATGTGTATA